AGAGCTGGCTACGCACACAGTGAAGACACAGATGCAGAGCCAGTCAGTGTGCCATATGAAATATGTAACATCAAGCTCATATCACAAGCGAGCGACAGCGACGTTGGCAGCTCACCGACACAGAGATACAGATACAGATACAGATACAGATACGGATACGGATACTACAGCTTGTGCTTGTGGGTGTGTGAGAGGGCCTCGACTGGCCCAGTGTGTGAGTGTGTGCTGAGGGGGAATATTTTCTTCTAGAAAATGAATTTCAGATCAAATCATATGGCACCCACCCCTCAGGGTTGTTCAATAGGAATAATTACGAAAGAAAACCCTTTAATTTCCCCACTAAAACGGGTCTTAGGAGGCCGTTAGGGCAGGCCACTCGACTGCTGGCCCAATTATGGATTTGATCCTAAATGCGGCGAGTTAATTAAACGCCTTAATAATAGTCCACGTGCTACTGCTGACGTAAGGGTCGTCGGCGGCAGTGCGACACTCATAGGGGCGTGCACAACCAACAACATCCAATACCAGTCCGAACGGAAAGTAAAAAGCGCCGCACACACCGATACTTTGTTGTGCCTTGGTATTTGGCATTTGGTATTTCACTTATTTTTTCGGAGCATTTCTCACGCACACACACACGCAGCCAGAAGCCAAGACTCTCGCGGGGAAGGCATTTTATTCGCGAATTTCTACGCATTTTTATAGATTTTATAACGGAACTTCGGCTCCTAAGCCCCTAAGATCGATCTTCACCGGTAATCTGGGAGCAGTTAAGGGGCTAAGGGGTGCCTCCTAGGGCCTTCCTGGTTCCCCCACCCAAAATTCTTCTTCTTCAAGAGCACATCACGTGGTCGCCCACCCCCAAGCACCCCACACATCCCCCCACCAACCACCAAGAAACAGCAATCCTCTCACACCAACACATCCAAATAGCCGCAATCGCAGAAGAGAGACACCCGAAATTAGCAATAATCTCGCCGAGAGCAGAAGCTATAAGTATATATATATATATATCTGTATATATATATATATAAATTAACAACAACAACAACAAAAGTACAACAATGAAGAGGCCGGAAAACAAAATGGCCGTAAGGTGTGGAAATTTCTTTGGACGTGTTCAGTTCCAATTCCCAAAGCCAAAAGCCAAAAGCCGAAAGCCTCGGCCATTTTGTCCCTACTGCATTTGCATAACAAACTGCTCGAATTACCCACAGATCGGAAGTGTGAATAGGAATATATATGCCTATAGGCATTATTGTATATTTTCCTAACTGACAGACGGCCACAAAATGGCGCCTGTCCGGAATGGCGCCGCTTCTATTCGAAATCGAGACTCGTAATAATATTATTCGACACTCGATCGGATCTGAACTTGAATTGGAAACTCTCTGATCGATATTATCAACACAGATCTCAGTTACAGCACTTCTTGATAAACAGTTAGGGAAGACAGTAGAACAGTAATAACAATATTAAACGAAGGGTATTAGGATTGGTATTGCTGCTGATGTCATTTAATCATATCAATTTTTCTGTTAGATTTGATGTCCCTTAAGCAAGCTAAACCCACTTCAAGTTATCATTCGAGGACATTCCATTTCAGGGAGACTCTGCAGAGTTAGTCTGAACTTTATTTCTTGGCTTCCTGGTCTAGTTTTTCTTACATATATCAGCTTCCATTTCATGGCTTTCTGCAGAGTAATTACCGACATAATGAAGAATTAAGACAGTTTATTCAATTTCCTAACTACATTCTACTCCCTCAACCTTGCTTGACTCCATTACGAGTAGCATTATTTGAGTTTCGTACTTCTTTGTTCTAAAGCAAACAAAGTCATAAACCTATTAGGAAGTTAGTAGGTAGAAAGGCTCTTAATTTCCTCTCAGAACCAAACAAAATTGAAGTTAATAAATAAAAATGTAAATCGCAAAAGTCAAATACTTCATAATTCCATGATTCATAAAGAAGTTCAATTGAGGGTTAAACCACCATGAAACTGAATTGCTCTCCACTCTCAATTAAGACTTTCAGCGGCTATCAAAGTAATTGATAGTTAATTGATTTATCCAAAGACTGCATTATTGTTGTTATAGAATAATTCCAGTTTTTAGGCGATCGAAGAACATTAGAAGTGCCACCAAAATGGATGCCAAGTGGCTTATTAAGTGGCCAGCTGAGTTGCATGCGCCCCAAGTTAGTTACACCGATTAGACTTTTAATCAAAGGTGACCCCAATTATTGGTATTCTGCATCTTTGGCCGCTCGTACACCTCGTTTGCATCCGAATCCAAGAGATTCGACCGGCGACAGCCTCCATTAAAATGCCCCACTAACTGCATTCCAAGAATTTACAAGTCAAAGATCGAATGTGCGCCGCTCTAACGATAGTGCCCCGCCACCCCCCCTAGCCCCTTAGCCCCCTTTGTCCCCTTGGCAGACCCCACACTCCCCATCACCCCCTGGTGGCCATGCTGATCATCAATAGCCAGATGCATTGTGTTTCTCGAGCGGAGACCGAGACGCAGGCAGAGACTGTGGGTCCAGGGCCACCGCCAGCGATCAGCAGACAACAAAGACTCAAATTGAATAAATAAAGCGCAAGATTTATGCATACGAAATTAATAAATTGAAATATATGTACAATAAGTATTAGGCGCCAACAATGAGCTGCATCGGGCATTTAATTTCATGCCCACCCATCGCCCAGCGCCCAGCGCCCATCTCCGGGCGGAGTTTATCAGTGGGCCACGGCCCGAAAAGCCGAAAAACTGAAAAACCGAAACTGAAACCGAAAAACAACAGGGGAGATTAACACACGCACGGCTACAGTGCGAGAAACCAGATATGAATTATGAGCGATAAGAGCGGAGTGCATTGGTGTCAAAAAACAAGAATGGAATGGTTAGGCCTTTGGGAATGTTGTTGCACCGCACTCGCTGATACCCTGGGTGATCCACGTTGCAGGTGCTGAAGGATTAATGGGGAGCAAGTGATGTGCTAGGAGAGGAAAGGCTGGTTTAAGAATGCACTTTCATGCACAAAAAACCTATCCTTATGAGGACTTCTAACTCGTAGTCACCTTTCATGAGTTCAGAAATTATCATAAGAAATGTCATAACAGTAGTTAACATGTGTGGCATAGCTCTGATTAATAGCCGCATCAGGACTACACATTGGGAAGTAGTTTGCATATCTCAAGCGAAAAGGATGTTAAAGGACTTACAGTATGTTGAAAGATTTAAGACTCACGCTTTCCCCACCAATCCCAACCCCAAATGGATCCCTTAGACTATCCCTTTACCAAGACATAGTTCTGATTTAAGACTTACACTTTCCTCAGTTTTCCACCTTCGATCTACAAACAGATCACCTTAGGACTTATGCCCCCTTAGGTAGAGTATTCCAAATAAAAACGCAGAGCGGAGTGATGAAATGCACGGCGGAGTTGCAGTGCCGGCGGTGCAGCGGGCAGCGGGCAACGGGCAGCGTGCAACGTGCAGAGCCAACGCGGTCGGCTGCATATAATATGAGTACTATACTATATAAGCCAGTTCAGATCCGATCAGCCGGCGTCTGCGTCTCCGTCGGCGTCGACAGAGGTAGAGGCAGTGCCAGTGGCGGAGGCAGCGACAGCAACAGCAACAGCAACAGCGACAGCGACTGCAACTGCGGCAAGTTTTATGAATGAACGAGTGCAACTGCAACGGAAAGAGACGGGTAGAGGCGGCTTGTGAATGGCAAAGGCGAGATCGAACTATTGTAATTATGCAAAATGCATATGCAATTAGTGGCAACTCCCCCTCCGCCCCTCCACCGAGCCGTTTCTGAGTCATGGGGCAACTGGTTTGACTTGACTGGCGGCCTGAGAACCTAAAAAGCTGAACAGTGAACATGCCGAGAACAAGTACTCAGTACTGGGTACTCGGTACTCAGTACTCAGTACTCCAATATGAACTCATGTGATTGGAATTTGTGTGCCGTTGCTGTTGTTGTTGCTGTTGTTGTTGGTGTTGGTGTTGCTGTTGTTCTTGCTGTTGCCGATGACGAACCACCAGTCGTACAGAAGCTCTAGAAGATTGTGCAATTGTGCCCCAACCTGTTTGCCACTTTGTAGCATCGAGTGTTTGCCGAGATGCAGATGCAGATGGAGATGCAGATGCAGATGCACTTGCCTCGCATCGAATCGAATCGAATGGAATGGAATAGAGTCGGCATCACACACACACAGAACACCATAACGAGCCATTGTCCCTGGCTTGTCCAGCATGCACATTCCATTCTTTGGAAAGCGATCAATGCCAAGTCAATAATGAAACGATGCCGATCGGTCGCGGAGAGTAAAAAGAATATAAATTCTGGCCTATCAGTTGGCTCCGTGAAGGAGGGTACCGAAGCACTGATAATAATGTCGCCTGCGAGAAATTCCTTTAGCGGCATTTAGGGCCACTTAATTATGACCCCCCCGCGTGCCCTCTTCATACTCTTCGAGCAGAGCCCAATCCTAAATTCCTGGAATTTCGACTTTGACTCTTGTTAAATAACCAACTGCTGTATTTGTCCATGTCGCCGGCCCTTCACTCGGAGAAAATAGGGCATACGTTTCGGGAAGTGCATTCCGAGTGTATTTCTGGAAGGTTGTCATTGAGAGGGGCTCTGAAATGGTGATACTGAAAGCAAGAACTTTGCTTAATAAGGATTTCAGAGAGGTTAAAATGGTATTACATCAACACTAGTGTACTCCTTAGTTACCTAATTAAGGGAAAAAGAAGTGCAATTTATGAAAATTCCCTTCCATATCATAGATCCCAATCATAAGGACACCACTTACCCATTTGGTTGCAGTGTTAGCCCGCTCAGCTCAAGTGGTTACTCTGCGCTTTTATGGCCTGGCCTAGGATTGCCCACGAAATTGGCAAGACGAAAGGGTTGGCTGCAACATCATAATCCAGGATCCGAGGCTGGCAGACGAGATTGAGGCTCTGGGAGCCTTGGTTCGATGAACCAATTAGATCAAACAACTTACACCACACACACACACACACACGGACACACACCTTTACGGGGTGCAAGAATACAACAACTGGGGAGAAGACTGGGAGAACAACAAAAAAGAATTCTTTACGAGCCTCGCTCCGGTGCACGGTCATCAAGTCAGCTCGTTCAACATTCAAGAGGCATCGATGATAATATTCATTCATTTGATCAAACCGCCGACGATGTCGACGGACGGAGATGCAGACGACTTTCATTATGGGCTTGGGTTCCCTGTAGTCGCTGCAGTCCCCTCAGCCCCATCATCTTGCTCCTCCTCCTCCTCCGTCTACTGGGAGGCCGCCCAAACGGAGTCGAAACCCAAAGCCCAGAACGGCAGGGGAAGTACAAAAACATATTGCCAAAGTAGCAGCAACAGCAAAAGCAACTACGGCAACATCATCGGCCAACAACAGCAACACGAGGAATCTCAACAGCAGCATTATGCATCATTACACTGCGAGAAATAGGGTAAGAGAGGAGTAAGCTGAAGGAAGGACTAAAAGAGGTTCACCTTTACAGTCCTAGGAATGGAATGGTATTCGAAGGGGATTACCTTCCTTAAGCTGTAAGATCTTCTTGTTTTATATTGTTTAGACTACCTCAAACCCTCCGATTTCTCTCAGTGCACTCAATCGACACATTCACTTATAGGTCTCAAAATCGATGAGAAAAAGGAATATGTTGAACGGGTGGTGGCGGTGGCGGCGTTCGCTTGTAGCACGGCTCAAAACTGCTGTCCGTTGTCCGACTGCCCGTTTGTCCGCCGTCCACTCGCTCACACAAACGTACACTAGCACGGTCATGGACACGGACACACCTCCACACACTCAGCACACGCACCCAGAAGTGCATGTGTATGCAGACGAAGCCAAGACCTCTTTTTAATGTATTGCAATTCCAAGAATTTAGGAAGAGGAACGTGAGAAACTTTGTTTTTGTTATTTTCTTTTCTTTGCATTTCATTTCAAGATACGATGCCGATCTCTGACTCCCTGCCCCTTCCCCTTCCCCTGCCCCGCCCCCGCCCTCACTCTCGTACCCATTCCCCTGCGCCCTCGCCCACTGGCGGTGTTTACGTCTCGAGCGTCCAGGTTTCATGGCTCTGCAGCGGTGCTGCTGGCCTGGCTATCAAATCTGGATGGGTTTCGGGATTGGAATTGGCCCCATATCCTTCGGAGTTTTACTCATTTCAGTTGCAGATAACCCCCCGTTCTATATAGAGAGGCATATCCCATCCCCATTACACCTTTCAGTCGATCCATAAATTATATCAAAAATAGATTCACGTAACCCGAAATGCATTTCTCACACATTGCAAACTCAAATACACAAACGGACTTATATACCGCCAAACAAATGTTTACCAATAAAATCCGATTTTCAACTGCTATAAATGGAGATGATCTTGACGGCGTTCTTCCCGATATAGACCAAACAAAGGTGTTTAAATATTCTTTTCAAACTTTGCGGGATTACTGAATGTTTTGCGAAAATTCACTCTTTAATTTTGGCAACTTCATCCTGATTTAAATTACTTTTGATGTACAGAAAGACTGAAAGACTCAAAGACCAAATCTATATATTAAGAAGGTTTCTCGTTTACAAATTGCAAACCTTCTTAGTTCATTTAAGGGTTACCAAACTTTTAGCTAGTTTTATTGGCCATACCACATCCCACTATTAAGGAAGAGTTCTTACTTTCAATCTAGCTTTTTCCAGTGGCCCCAAGTGGGCACCTCTGGAGGCCCAGGCTCTCGTATCCATAAGTCACCGAGGCGTCTTCGACATCGTTTTGGTCTTCGGTGGACGTCGCTGCCTTCGTTGGCGTTGCAGTTTGCAGAATGCCCCAGACCCCAGACCCCAGACCCCAGCCAGAGACCCAGACATTCATATTGTATACACTTAAGATTCTTTGTGGAATTTCGGTGCAGGAGTTGCATGAGGGGTGGGGGCGGTGGGTGGCCAGCAGTGAGCAGTAAGCAGTAAGCGGTAAGCGGTGAGTGGGCCAGGCGCGTGGTAGTATGTGTTGGCGTGTCTCTGTGCGAGTGCAGACTTGGCTAATAAAGCCGGCGACAGGAGAAAGCCAAATTCCAAGAGCACAACATTGTAGCACTTGGGTGGTGCCGAGGTAAACAACAGTTCCTGGGCACCAGGAAGGGGTATCCCCCGGGCAGGGATCTCCATCTCCATCTCCATTGCCAACTCCAACTCCATCTCCATCTCCGTCTCGGTCTTTATTTAGTTATTCTGTTTGCTCGCCAATCGTTTCCTTTTTGCATTCGCTGCACTTTTCGCCGAGTGTATGCGTGTGTTTGCTGGTGCGTGTGCTGGGCACATTTCTTTTTGGGATGCCGCTGATCGGAACATGGATGTGGCTGTGGCTGTGGATGAGGCTGAGGATGAGGTTGTGCTTGTGGCATGGTTGTGGCTGTGGATGTGTGGCTGCCTCCGGAATGTGCATAATTTTTTTCCTTCCTCCATACCCATTTGTTGGCCAGCCGTAAGGATAACCTCAGCTGAAAGTCAGCTTAAAGTTATATCTAGGAACTATACCCTAGGAACTCAGAATGGAAAAGGTTTCCATCTACTAAATGGTAATCTACTTAACTTAGTTGCTATTAACTCTTTTAACAAGGATATCTCTCAAAGAGTGAACTCTCTTTCTTGAACTAAAATCAATTTGCCTTTACAGGGTATCCCTTATTCCATCCCTCACAGACCTGCGCCCATCAGCATTCTTGCCGTTTTGGCTTGCTTTTCTTGGCCTTTTTCTTTCCTTTTCACATTTTACTGTGTGGCGCAGGGCAGCAGCGACAAAATAGCAGAACCCTGTTGCCATGATCGTTAACAAGATGCCAAGACAACGAGAGGGGACGGCCAAGGGGGTTGGGGGCAGATTGGAGTTGGCAGAGGAGCCTGGAATCTGTGGGAGCTTCGAAAATGTTGGCGGCAGCCAAATTAAATAGGCGCAAGCGCTTTGAGTTAGCCACGAGTTGCCCAGAATCCAGAATGGGATTTTCAACTTTTGGTTGCTGTTGTTGTTGTTCTGTTTGTTATTGGCATGTTGTTGGTGTTGTTGCTTAAGTGTTCTTGGTATGTTGTTATGTTGTTGTTGTTGTTGTTGCTGATTTTATTGTCTTCGTGGCTGTTGTTGTTGTTGTTGTTGCTGCTGCCCCAGCGAGTTGTTTGCGAGTTGATTGTCCTGTCCCCTCGAGTTTTTGGCCTGAGCCGGCAGGAATGCTGCCTCACGGGTAGAAAGAGAGAAAATCTTCTCACCTGAGAAAGGCGATGGGGTGAGAGGGGCCTCCGCCGGGGGAGTGGCGGAAGACGCTGCAAGCCAAGGATCGAGATGCGGTTCGTTCTTGTTTTTCTTTTGAATTTCAGCTTTGTGTGCTGATTTCGTTGTTGTTGTTGTTGTTTTTTATTTCGGCGGTGTCTGTGGCCAACTACTCGGAGTTCTCACATGTATATGTGAGTACATCCCCATGACATGGCATGCACTGAGCGAAAAAAGAGGCTCCTAGACGAGACTCTGTGGATAAAATAAAAGAAGGTTGCAATAAGGAAACTTATTTTGAAATCTGATCACTAGATCTTAGTTTGGGTGATGTTTCATAGATCCTAACTTAATTTCATTATGATAAAGTCCGATATATCTAAGCTTTTTAGTTCGATTTGTTAGTTATGATTTAAGTTTTAAGATCTGAGAGTTTTTAATCTCAATATTTTAAAAGTTGCACTCTCCCTTCCAATTTTATGGCATAAAAGAGAAGTTTGACATCATACTTAATACCCCCTTTTCCCGCAGTGCACGCAGGGAGTTTATTATGATTATTTTGTTTGGCTGCCTTTGGACTGTGCAAAAATCCGCACATAATCTGGCAAAACCAGTAGAACAACAACACCAAAGGATGCGGACAGCTCGGCTCATTTATTATGTGTGTGTGAGCCGAGGCGCAAAATCCCTATCCTCACTTACATACCTCTCAGTTCGGTGCGGTCCGTAGGGTCCATGAGGTCCATGAGGTTCACCATGTCCGTCCTTCCATTTCCATGAGTCCGTCTGCCCGTCTGGCTTTTTATCTTTTTGGGATTTCGCCTTTTGTCCTGCTCAACGCATTCGAGTTTTCCCAGAAATGTTAATTATAATACTCACAAACATACATAATTACTCGCATTTCGATGCCCGTAGTTCCCATATCTCCCATATCCTGTTTATGCGGCTCTGGCCTCTGGTTCTCCCTCTCCCTCTCTGGGCCCCTCTCTGGGTCCCTCCGTCTCCGTCCATTCTCGTTTCCCGCACTGCGTTTATTAATGCGCCAAATAAATTTGCATGCCATGCACATTTTTCGTTCATTCCGCTCATTAATGATACTTGTTTATTTATTTTTGATATTTTTTGCACTTCTGGGCTGGGATTTGGTCAATGAAAAGGGTTCGCTGCGTGTGAATTATGCTCGTAAATAGGGTTCCTACTTCAGCGGTACAATGGAATCGGAGTGGCATCTCAAGAATATCTTTCTTGGTCACAGGAAGCTTATTCTTTGCTAGACTAGATGATGGATCGATTGTTAATATATCAGAGATGTAGATACCACGTTTATTCTTAAGCCAACTATCTGGTAAGCATTAGGTATGAGTACAAGGGTTAGATGCACTACGGGAAGGTAACTGAAAGTATTCAATCTGGTTTAACCTTATCAAAGACTTGAAAAGGCGATTGAATGTGCAATACAAAATCAGAAGATTAAATATTTAAGCTACAATTTAAATCTTCTATGAAGTTATGCAGAAGAATGTAAGTTTAATGATAGTTTTAAGTTTACTTTCAAAGACTCAAAAGTAATTTTTTAATAACAGAGACTAATTAACCGTTTAATGCGCATTAAATATGTCAAGAAAAGCAGTAATTAAGAAGTAATTATTAAAAATGAAATTTATTTAAATTGAAATACTTTTAACCTCATTATATAATTAGTATAGTAAACGGATTAATCAACCAAAATTAAATGGAAATCGAATTTGTCAATCGATACTTACCTTTTAATGGCTTAATTGACACACAAAATTGAAAATTGAAAAACAAATGCAAGGCGAAAGCAATAAAATTTAAACAATTTGTTACAACGCAGTTTTTAAAAGTTTATAATAAAATCGCCGCCATTATGTTTTTGCCGCCCCCTCTCTCCCCCCGCCCGTTCTACCTCGCCCAGCACCCCACCCCACCGCTTTGCTATTTTGCTCCCGCTCTCTCCCAAAAAATACTAAAAGAGCGCAAAAAAATATACGAAACCCTCCCACTTCCCCCCTCGCGCAACAAAAACAACAACAGCAAGAATGTCAAAAACTAACAAAAACCTTAACGACGTCTCTCGCACTAACACACACACACACACACACGCACACACTCAGAGACATAACATACTGGCAAATAATGCCAATTGATCGCTTACTCTCTCACACATAC